TGTACTGCTTATATATATGATAATGTTGGGGTATTTCCATTTTTCTCTATGTATGTGAAAAATCATAGTTGAGAGGCTCGATTGGTTATCAATTGGTATGTTGTCTTTTGATTTCTTAAATATAAACACGGTTACTGATATTTCTCTTTAATTCTAATATATTTTCTGTGAGTTCAGATAAGATCCCAGAAAATTTGAGGATTTTTCTTATGTGCGTTTTACGAATTCTAATTATTTATGCGTACTTGGGAAATGCGGGAGGGTACTTGGGCCTTGTCAATTCATCGCAATTGACCAAGAACAAATTTATTGCAATTGAATTTAGTAAACAGCAAGATTTGCTCTTTTATGATCCTAATGACAACCAAGTTGGGTTGGATATTAACAGCATTATCTCAATCAAGACTGCCAATATGATGCTGCAAAGTGTGAATTTGAAGAGTGGGAATTTGATTACTGCTTGGATTTATTACATGAATGAGAAGAAGTTGGAGTTTCCAAACTGTGGGATTTCATTCAAGCAGGATTGTCGGGCATGGAGCCCATGGCACTGTTTATAAGGCATTTTTCACATATTTGGGGTATTATTTCTGCTGTTAAAAGAGCCAAGCATGCCCACGAGGGTAAAACCGAATCCCTTGCTGAATTATTAATTATAGCTTGTTTGAGGACCTAGCTGATTTTTAAATATTTTAACTTTGTTACTAAAACTATATATATCTCTATTTAATTTTTTGTTGATTTAGTCATTGCTTCAATAATAATAATAATTTGGTTGATATGGTTGTTGCTTCAAATTATGTGCTTCGAATAAGTTTCTTTTCTGAATTCACCACCTTCTTTCAAAGTTACAATCTAAATTCATGTCATTTTAATTTACCTCGCAAAACGCATTGCACTCTGTGGCACCACGGAGCACGTTCGGTGCAACACGGAGACACGCCGTACCTTCGTTGCATCCATGTCTCCGTGCGGAGACACCATCTCCGTGCCACACGGAGCACGAAGACACCACCGGACTTTTTTTTTTCTAGAACCAATAGAATTTCTTATAGGTCTTGTTTTAGCTATAACTAAAAAATGTTCAAGTGCCCTTACAATGTAATCCCAACATCTTCCAACTCCAAATCTTCAAACTCGTGCCAGTCAAGAGGGTTTGGAACTTTAGATGCTAAGTTCGAATTTTAGAAACTTATAGGAATAGTTGGTGTTAAGGTAAAAAATAGCCAAGGGTCTTTGTGTCAACTATATGAACTCGCATTTAATTTCTCGATGGTTTTGGATACAAATCTTCCTTTTTTTCCTCAAATAACATTTCCTTTCGGGGCGTTGCACCCGAGCCCCCACAAGGGGCGCTGCCCCCGCGACCTGATCGGGCGGTCAATCCCCATCTGGGGGTTGCCCTTCGATCCCCGCAACCTGATCCCTATCGGGCGTTGCCCCCGAGCCCCAGGAAGGGCACTGCCCTCGACCTCGCGACTGACACTTTGATGCCGTTTCGAAGCGACAAACCATTTGAATAACAACAATAAACAAATAAATAAATTATAAAAAAATATATATTATCTCCAAACTTCCAAACTAATAGGAATCTCAATATTTTCAATCTCTAACTTCTTGATGATTGGATATTTTATTTTTAGGAGTTGGTCATCTTGTTAGATTATATGATTAAAAATAACAATCAAATTTCTCACAATCAGAACTTTAAAATAAGTAAAATTAGGTTCCTAACACAAACAACTTAAATCCAAACAAAAAACTAGCTAAAATGTGCAAAGTGTGATTAATTAACTATTCATTTAAGCTTCTAAAACATTTACAACCTAATATAAAAGAAAATCATTAAATCATTGATTATATTTAGTTAAAAATACATTTGTAACGCAATTAATAACAAATCTTCAGATGAAGAATTGAAAAGACAGAAAGAATATGACGATAAGTGAGTTTATTCGAATTAACTTATGACTATCTTTCATGTTTATGAATGAATATTTACATATATTTATTTTCAAATATTAAACAACTAACGTGCAACGCACGTTAACCACACTAGTAGTTACACTACATTTGAATTGTATTTGAAGTCTTTAATCTTTGTTTATCAAAGTATTTATATGTATAAAACATTTTATTAATTAGCACATTTATTATGGTTTCGTCCAAAAATTTTGTTGGAAGGTCTATAACAACTTATTTGTCCATCATGTCAAAAAATAATAAATCCAAAAGTGTGATAAAATATAATTGCTCATTTTACATCATGCAAATTAGAAATATCTGAACAGAAAATATTTTCAATGATGAGATGTTTGAATTCATGGAAGGTTGAATATAAAAATTCACAATTTGAAGGATACAAGTGTTAAAAAATAAATATTGACATTCTTAACTACAATTAAAATGTGGTGCAATAAGTTGGTTAAGTGGCCTCCAATATATCTTAAAATCTAAAATATCCTTCATAATACTTTTAAATGTCTAAAGGCTAAATATATTGACACCACGGTCTTATTACATTTATGTCACGATTTTTTTTCACCGTATTCTTATTTTCAAATTAATATAAATTATTTTTTATTATGGTTTCTCTTCCAAATAACTTTTGAGATAGATTAAAAGAACTCATTTGGCCATCGTATTTTTAGATAAACAAAATTAATAATAATGCAAAAATATAATTAAATATTGACCCTCATTTTAAATTACAATTGTTTTTTTAGTCCTCGAAACAAATATGAATTCTTTTGAGCAAAACAAGTGAATCAGAAGTTTACACGAAAATAAAAATAAAAATCTATATTTACAATCTCAATGACAGAATATCAGAAGTTCAACAAAAGAAAAATCAATTTTTACTTTTATACTTGCTTTTATGAAACTTCACTCTTTACAAGGACGAAATAGAAAGCACAAAAATACCCAACTCTCTACCAGCAATGGTAACTTCTAGAGTAACAAAAATGATTCCAAGGAGTTGCATTGAATTGAGTAGGAAAGAAAATGTTCACATATGCAAAATATGACCGTTTTGTCCTTTACATTCAAGCCCGAACGGTACGGGTCATCTCTCTACCAGCATTGGTAACTTTTACTCTGCTCAATGGTTTATCTGGGGCAGTCAGATTAGTTCTAGATGACTGAGGAGTTCTCACATTTGAAGTTCCTTCTTCTGAATCTTGAATCGTTTGTTTCAAGACATCGACCACTTCACTCATAGCTGGCCGATCTTTTGCATTTTTGTTTAAGCAGCTATCTGCCAACTTGGCGATTTTCCTGGCCGAAGTTAAGGAATATTGGTTTTGAAGCCGGGGATCCATTATCATGTTAAATCTCTTACTATCAGCTGGGAAATGTTTCACCCAATCTAGAAGCTTCTGCTCTATCGTTGGGAGCTTTCTTTCCAAAGTCCGTCTTCCTGTGAGTATCTCGTAAAGCACAACTCCGAAGCTCCATACATCACTCTTGATTGTAAGACGACCCGTCTCAACATATTCGGGGGCAGCATATCCATGTGTCCCAATAGGCTAACACCAATAAAGTTTAAAATGTTAGGGGCTAAGCCATCATCTCAATCACGAGGGCAATATTAAACAAATAATGTTAGAAACGTGTGAGCAAATAAGCAAATTTCTGGTGCTTCACTCTTTGCCCCTGTTTGGGCTCCATTTTTCCAAAACTCTTTTTTAGGCACACATTCTTCCATAAAATAATGTTACACGTAAATCCAAGATTTTTTCTCATTTTTAACCACATGCTCCAAAATATTACTATTTCGAAATACATTTTCCCTCAAAATCTTATTTTAGCGAAGCCCAAACATGGGTAACGTGAAAGCTACCCGCTGCTACAGATATTCACAATGTAACAAAGAGGATCCTGAATATAGGTAAATTAAACAAGAACTAAGGATTAGGAGTTTGGATCAAATCAATTAAAAAGGAGAGATCACTGTAACTGAAAAATGCATTTTCTTCACACTGTAGGTTCGTATTAGTATAGGTATTTTTGGATATCTAGCCAGGAAAAAAAAAAACAGCAAAAGTAGTTCAAACAAAAACTAATTAAGTGAACCGTGTACCAAACAACCAGAGACAAGTAAATCATTGTTTGAATAAACGTGTTCAAGATGGATTTCGCAGTATCTAAATTCACATTCAATTCAACTTAATCATTTCACTACTTACCGCTGTAGACACATGAGTTCGGCCTCCAGTTGGACCTTCCCTTGCAAGTCCAAAGTCGGAAAGCTTGGGATTGAAATCCTTATCCAACAGCACATTCGAGGACTTGAAATCTCGATATATCACCTGCTGATACAGGAGAAGAAAAATAGCTAAATAATTTGTACCGCAAATTACTATTCATAATATTCTTAAAAGCTCAAGAATTTCTTAGCTGTTGATGCATGACAACGAATTGTTAAACAAAGTTCTTACAATTACAATGAAAAAAGTGAGCAACCACAAATCTCACCACCTAAAGAGAGGTACCTGAACTTCCACGCCCTCATGTAGATATGCCATTCCTTGAGCAGCCCCAAGAATAATATGTAGTCTTGTTCTCCAGGGAATTGTTGGCATTGCCCTGTTGAAAAGATGATCCTCCAAGCTCTTATTGGGCATGTATTCGTAAACTAATAAGCGTTGGATTCCTCTTTCTCCATCCAAAGCGCAGTATCCTAAAAGCTTTACAAGGTTGGGGTGATCCAAAACTCCAAGGAATTGGACCTCTGCTACCCATTGTTTATGGCCCTATATGGTAGACAAACAATTCAGATGTAAATTTTAGAACCCGAGAAAGTACATAAAAAGTTAAAAAAATAAAAAATAAAAAAAATAAAATATATATATATATATATATATCAATTTCATGACTAATGAATGAGGGTTATAAGTATATATTTGTGAAGTTGGGAGAAAACATTCTGAGGTAACAAAGTTTTTGGACTAATAAAGCACAAAAATTGTCATGGCAGACATTCTAAGGACGATTCAAAACAAACTCGAGAACCTAAGTAAATAATAATGCCATTGTGGAACACTGGAATGTCATAAGAACATGCCAATTGTTGTTCCATATTAAGACTAAACAAAGTAATTCAACAAGATATAGTCTCTAATCAGGACATGATGGTTTAAACGAAACCAACATTTTGCATTAATAATATTCTCTATACCCCATCACAAGAATTTGAGTCCACTTTTATGCTGGGTAATCACAGGAGAGATGCACTTCATGGCAAATGCGTCCTTTCTGTCATCTTAGCAAATCTTTTTCTTTCTTTTTTAGCTAAAATACTATGTTAAAAGGAAATCTCAAATAGTACTTCTTATACAGTTATTCACATCGTTTTTGATGCAACTAATAAATGCTTGTTGCTAAGTTAACATTGCCTGAACACCTAAAAACATATTTATACGACAATCATTCATAAATATCAGATTTAGTAAAAACAAAACTGCTTATGTATCATCAACCGAATTTTCACATTTACGAGGTTGGGCCATATGATATATCAGAATGAAGAATATCATTCCCTATCATTTGAAGCCAT